GTGATCAGCGTGCCTGACATGTGAAAAATCAGCCCTGTGAACCTTTTACACTGTTTAGAATACAGTAGTGATCAAGAAAGACTGCGTCCTGCCCTCATGAGGCTAATATTAAATATATGAGGAAAAACGAAGCTCACTAAAAAGAAGAGATGACAGGAATGCCCATTCTAGAGAGACAGGTCAGAGCAGGCCTCTCGCACAAGGTGCGTGGCACCTGAAGGAAGTGAGGGGTGAACCCTGTAGATGCTGAAGGAAGAATGTTCCAGAAGAGGAGGTGGGATGACCAAGGCCCTGAGGGGGCGTGAGCTATGACATGAACAGCAAGCCTGCCATGGGGACCGAAGGCAGAGCAGCACGTTCGGGGAGCTTGGGGGGGTGCCGGGCCTCAGGCCAGGGGGTCCTGCTGGATCCCACATGCACGATGCGGCCCCAGGAGGGCTCTTAGCAGGGAAAGGGCGTGAATGGGTTTGTGTTTGGAAAGGATGGCTCTCTGACTACCTTGCAGATTAGCCCCAGAAGGGAAGAGGCGGGAGTGGAAACCGGGAGACAAGCGTGAGGACTTGGTGCTAGTGGAGGAAGGGTAAAGAACAAGTGGACCAAAAAGTGACTTGAAGACCCGTGGGTCTGACGTGTGTGACGGAGGAGAGGGGTCGAGGATGAGCTTAAGCTGAGCAGGCAGCTAGGTGGGTGGTGGCGGCACTGAGAGACAAGGAAGAGGGGAGGAAGGGTCTGGGGGGAAAGAGCAAGAGAGCCTGTGAGCTCTGAGACGCCCGTGGGACGTCCAAGGGAAGGCGACAGGGAAAGACCAGCATGGAGGCTGACACGTGGGCAGGATTCACCCACAGATGTGACTGGAAGCCCTGGGATGGGAAGGGACTGGCTAGGGTGCTGGTTCTAAACAGGGAAAGACTGCCCCCTCGAGGCTACTTGGAAACTGCAAGGTCTGTTTTCAGTTGTCAGTAATCCTGGGGGTGCTATAGCATTAGCAGGAAGGGAGCAAGGAATCTAGATGTCCTGCAATGTCCCACGTAAGGAAGAATTCTTCTTCTCCTTCTTCTTCCCTTTTTTTTTTTAAAGTAGGCTCCCTGCCCAGTGTGGAGCCCAACATGGGACCTGAACTCATGACCCTGAGATCAGGACCTGAGCGGAGATCAAGAGTTGGACACTTAACTGACTAAGCCACCCAGGCGCCCTAAGGAAGAATTATTCTTAATCCTCTGACTTTAAAATGCTCTGAGAAACATTCACGTAGCAGAGAAAAATCTGTTCATAATGATCTGAGCTGAGAACCTAACTCCATTTTACATATAAATCCAAAGACTTATAGGGGCTCCTGGGTGGCTCAGCTGGTTAAGCGGCTAACTCTTGGTTTTGGCTCAGGTCATGATCTCAGAGTCCTGGAATCAAGCTCTGCATTGGGCTCCACACTCAGCAGGGAGCCTGCTTAAGATTCTCTCTCCCTCTCTGTATGCCCCGCCCTTCCCCCCACACCCCTGCTCTAAAATAATTTTTTTTTAAGATTTTATTTATCCATTCGAGAGAGCAAGCAAAAGAACACAAGCAGGAGGAAATGGGGGGAGAGGGAGAGGGAGAAGCAGACTCCCCGACGAGCAGGGAGCCCGATGCAGGACTCAATCCCAGGACCCTGGGACCATGACCCAAGCCAAAGGCAGACGCTTAACTGACTGAACCACCCAGGCGCCCAATAAATAAATAAATCTT